AGATTATCTTTTCAATTAGCATTTACAATGGAATTTTTAAATCAAAAGAAAGGTGGTAAAAACTACCCTAACTCCTCCTAGAATTTAAATTTCATTAATTGGCAATAAATTAAGTTCTTATTTCTGAACCTTTTAGTCCTATAATGCAGATGGTTGGAAATAGAAATTAATCAAAGTCAATTTTTAATCGAGCACAATATAGTTCAATAGTTAATAAGAGCTGATAATTCTCAACAATGTAATATCAAGTCAGCCCTTTGGGTAACAATATTTATACATTTTATATATTTGTTAGTGGGTGTGCGATAGACTTACCTGCACGTGGTGCACCCTGGGCAAGGTATACTCATACGACAAAAAAGTCTATAACCGACAGTTGACTTCTGACTTCAAAATACCATGGCCCGACTGCTTGTCATATTTGACCCCTTGCACAGTACACATCTTACCTTTTTCTCCACCTTTGTGTCTGTCTGCCTCTTTTACATCTGTGAATCGCTCTTCTGTACCCCACCCCTCGACTTCCTGCTACTTTGATGAACCTTCCCTCTGTGAAGCCCGAAGTCAGCTAAATGGCTAATGATAGCTATCAAAACGCCTGCCATTTGAAATAAATAAATATATATTTGTTAGTGTGTAAAATATCACCAAAACTTTCAATTATAAATTTCTCATATAGGCTCGAAACAATGAAGTAAGGGTTCCTAACGAGAAAACCATTTCTGTGAACAGTTGCGACATCTGCAGGTAGTAACTGAGTAACGATGTCAATTGCGAATTCATCAAGGCAGAGCAGAAAATCGTTTTGTTTAGCTACTATCCAGAGACACCAATGATTCAAATTAAAGAATATTTTTGCATTTACCTTTGTCGTGTTAAGACATCAATTCAATTACCTCTGAATTCTTAAGTGAGGTGGACTTGAAACCCTGTTTAGTTGACATCGCAATAACGAAATGAAGTTTTTAAAAAATGTCACAAGTCTTTAGAAAGAAAGAAAGGAAATAGTTTTCTTTTGTTAGGTAAAAGGTTTTCGCCATTATCAGTAGTGTTTAAAAACTTGTATGCAATTTGGGATATATTATTAAAATGTATTTATTATATTTGTCTCTACTCAAAAATTACACTAAAAATATATAATGATTATGGCTTACAAAGCAAATATTAATTGAAATGAACTGAAAGGTGCTATTCCCAACTTGTCTATTTCGTAAAGTATGCGTTAACAATATCATTAGCAATGAAACACGTACGAATTAACCAATGAGAGCTTTACACACTATTACCATCTGCCCATAGACGATTCTTATCCCCAACATGTACGTTTGCATTTGCTGTGGAGCTGAGGTCGAAAAAATTTACACTCAATACTCCAAGGAGATAATAAATTTTCAATTATGTAAAATCTGTGGTCGAATTGTAGATAAATATGTTGAATATGATTTTACAATTGTGGCAATAGATTTACTAGTTTGCAAAATCGAGGCTTATCGGCATATTCTTCGAAATATTGAAATTCCTCGGCTCTTTCATCTTTTACTCCTTAGCTGTCTTCTCTGTGGATTTCTTGGTTGGATATGCACCGAAAACTTTGATAATTTTGACGTTAACATTATTAATGCCACTGTGAATTCGGATTTGTATTCCTCTATTCTTTTAAAAACATTAGTCACTGCTTTATCCGGTTTCTTATTATACTCATTTGGTTATATATTTGGCCTAAACATATCAGTAATTGGAATCGTGAAGTTACTTGTCTTAACAAACCTATGTTCATTAATAGGTCTTTTAATGTACCCGTGGAAAAATATCCTTCTCGATTTTCTTCCCTACACTTCTGTTTATTTTTCCCCAATTCTTACATTTGTTTGTACATTGCCAACTACTATCCCCTCCTTCAGAGCTCTTACAAATGCTTCTTATACACTTTCACTAATAATACCTCTTATCTCATGTAGCCTTGTCTTTGTTATTGAAAGTTCAGTTATTAAAGATCGTCCTTTCTAATATTATGTCTTCAATTTTTGTCCTTTTTAGATGAGATTAAAAGCATTAGAGTATTTTTCTCTCTTTCTTCTCATCTCATCGGTGCTTGCTGCGAATTACCAAGTCTCTGTGCATCTTGGCTCATCATGGAACGAGACTCCCGTTTTATCGGAAATAGCGTACGTTCATTTCGTTCATAAGTATTGTGTTTTTCTAGTGAATATTTGGCCCAATTCTCCTCTACACACTTTTGGGACTTTGTTAATAAGCTCGAGTCACTCTCAGTCAATAATTCGTCGTCTGGGGTCTTTTCGTCGGACGAAAAGTTGACGCATGAAGCAATGCAACTGCTGGAGGATATGATTTTGGATGTTCAAGGGGTGCATGCGGATAAGGATGGAAATCGTGACTTGCAGAAACGTCTATTCAGGCTTACAGTAGCATCTCGTGCCCTATCTCCAGCTGTTCAGACCGCAAACCACATGGCCTCTGTAGCGCATTTTCAATTTGGGTCGAACAATTTGGAGGCGTGTGAAGGTAGAAAAACGTGGGGACGCATTGGGTCCATGCTTATTTGCGATTTGGATCAACTCGAGACATCGGTTCAGAAGGCTCTAATTGCTTGTTCATCTAGTTGCCCAGACAGCCTAGCAGATTCCGCCTTGCTATCAGATAATGTATTTCCTACCAATGTATATTCGCACTCTTCTCCTCACCTCATAATTCATGGAGATTTAAGATCCATTGAATTCTACAAATGGCACATGATGGCTAAACAATTGGCAAAAGATAATAAAATTGTCTACGTTTTCCGTCACTTCATTAAGGTAAGTGAGCTCGTATTTTTTTAGAGAAATGGTTTATTCTTATCTAATATTAGTGACTTTATTATAGTAAATCAAGTTAACTACTTTTTTGTTATCGTGAGAAAGCAATTAGACTTGTCTAGTAACTAGATAGTTTATCCTGAGATGAAGCGGGGAGAGAATGGAGGTGAAGTTGAAGATAAAGTCCGGGTATCTAAGGGTGTACCTAATTTTGCTCTTTGAGTTTCAAATTTCCTTCTTGATGAGCCTCAAAATAGATTTCAGGGATTTGTTTTCGTTGTTCATTAGTCTGTCTGACTGAAAAAGGATACCGCAAAATTCCTTCCTGGCTTTAATTTGCCAAGGATTGAAAACAGCATTTCTTTATAAAAACTATGTATTATTGTCAAATCGTTTTCAGAGTTTGGGGAAATTTTTTTACTTTGGTCGTTTTCGGCTGTTTTTTGCTCTTACTAAGTAATCGCTTTACATTTCAACTGCTATTTTAATTTATAAAATTAATTTTACACAAATTAAACTGTTTAGACGCGTCCATCTTCTAAAACTTGGCTCAACGGGTACGGTGTCGCCTTGAATCTTAAAAGTACTGAATACAAGGCTATGGATGACAAAAGCGGCGAAGGTAGGTGTCACTTCTCTTAAATTAATCATACTTCAGGGGGCCGAGATTTTTCAAGTGATGTGCTTGGTGAAAGTGAGATGGAATCTGTTGTTCAGGGCTTTAATTTCACTCAACTTCGAGCAAATTATCCCGAACTGAAGTTAGAACTGAATTCCTTCCAGCGGCATATTATCACCGGTACCACTGAAGTAAAGCCTCTCAAAGCTTGGCAGATGCGTGATCTTGGTTTACAAGCTGCTCAAACTGTGATGGATGTGGCTAGTGAAAACGACACTGATATCTCCGGTCTTCTCATGATCAAAGACCTGAGTCAAAACTTCCCTTCAAGGGCCTAGTAATTTCTCTTTTTTCAACTAATTTCATTTTCTCTTTAGCCAACTCTCTCAACGCAAAGTGACAGAAAATCTGAAGGAGGAATTGAAAATCAATCAGAATATTTTGGAGCAGCGTTATGGTATTCAGGCTGGTGGAAATGTCTTTCTACTTAATGGGCTTGCTCTCTCACCGGAGATTGATATATATGCTCTTCTGGATCTTCTCCGCTCGGAAAGTCATTTGTTGAGTCAACTTCATGGCCTTGGGTTATCGGTGAGTATTCAGCGTCTTCCTTCTAGTCTATGGTAGTATTCCATTTGTTTAAGAAGTTTGGTTCGTAATGGATTGAAAGTTAATCGGCTTTACATTTGTTCACATTCATTTGCTTAATTAGTCAGTTATTATTTGGCCTATGTCACTTAAAAGGTGGCTTTTAAGAAAGTCTCAACTCACATCACAAGAGATTATCTCTTCTATTGTAATTAGGAATATTTTTTTTTTGGGAATATTTCCTCATGCAATCCCAATATGTACATTTAATGGCTTTTCTGCATAACTCCATTAGGAAGTAAGACAAATTTGGTCAGGATTAGTTTGTTCTATGGAAGGCTTCATATCCTTCTTCTGATACTTCGCTTGTGGCTCCTGTTTGGGGCGACTATGCGCTTCATTAATATTCACCCGAGGACCTATCCATTGTCGGTGAAGTTTCACTAAGGTCTCATATGAAAGCTATTTCTGCAAGTTAGGACTTCGTCCGAAATTCGGCCTCTTACTCAGTGCAAGTTGTTCTGCCAGCTGCACTTAGTTTTTATCGTACTGGGGTGGGGTGGGGTGGGGGGGGGGGGGGGGNGGGGAGGAGGGTCTTAACAGAAGCAGACTACGATCCTAACTTGATGTAATAACTGAAGACATTATCCTTCAACAGACACTTCTTTTTGCCTCATTATCGCTTTTTGGGCTATTGCGTCAATTGCTTTGGCATTCAAGTTGAAAGTAATTATAATTTTTATAATATATTTACTTTCACGGGTTTCGTCGACGTCTGAAACTGGGTACGAAGTAATAGGCACAATAAAACTGCATTGAATATAAATAATAGATCTGAATTAATGCGTAAATTGGCAATACAGACGGGTGATTTTTTTAACGTACATTTTGTAAACCATGGGAAATGGAAATGAGAACTGCAGCTCAAACAGATGCATTCATGGAATGAACAAATGCCTAGTGAAGACATTAATTACGACTATCTGCTTCAGTGCTAATATTGAAGTATCCAGTTGCCAGGGCAAAATCCAATGGACAAGGGTGGAAAGTTATGAGTTTCTCTTGGATGCACGGAAGTTCTTTAATTGGATTTCATATAGGTTTGGTATGCAGATATGCCGTAATTAGAAATCGATATGAGTACGAAAGTACTAATAATTAATAATGAGAACGTGATAATATGTAGAAAATCAAGAAATAACTATACTCACTTCCTTTAATAGACCGAACAAGCTACTCGATTGTTGCAAGCATCTCCAAGTGGAGAAGATGGCTATCGAATGAGTACCTTTATTGATAGCTACAAGCATACAGTGACTGGTGAACGTCTACTCGATATCAGTGGTGCACCCATCCTCTATCTGAATGACATTGAACGAAACCCTGCCTACAGATCATGGATTCCAAACATCCATGCTCTTTTCATGATGGGTGCACCGGGCCAATTAAGACAAATTCGAAAGAACCTCTTCAATGTGGTCTTCGTTGTTGATCCCACCGAACCTATGGCTATGGAAATGCTTAAATTAGCAGAGATTCTTATCTTGAAGAAGGTTCCCATTCAGTGAGTTGTTACAATTATAACAGCACTTGCTCATGTCGAAAAGACGTGCAAAGTGTACCAAAATGTCGTACTATTCGTTTTACTTGTTTTTGCATTTGAATAGCGTTGCCTAGGTTTATTTTTTTCGTTAGCAGACGCTTGTAAGAGTTTGGTGGAGGCCTCGTCTCTTGGCGGTCTTTCCATCTAAACTATTCTGTGTATTTGTTTCACAAGTTTCTTTCGATAGCCTTTTCTTTAACTATTTTTTTTCGCTTTGGGTTTGACTGTTTATCATCGTCTATTAAGCAAAATTTCGATTAAAATTTACTCTGTTATCACTTAACTTACGATAAATGTGCGTGAAATTTCGATGGATGTATGAATTAACTATTGAAATGATAGTGTTTCTATTAGTTTCCTTACTCCATTAACCGTTTCTTAGTATTCAGCAGTAACATCATTTCCATTCATTTCTGCTCCAACGTATCTAAGCGGGTTTTACCGAATCTGGCCTTAAGATTAGCGCCTCCTGTGTTGATTATTGGTTATCGAATTTCTAAATTCGAACTTAGATACCTATCACCGCCTCTCTACCGATTTTCGCTTCCATTATTGGCTAAGCGGCCGGCCAAACTTTCATTCACAATCGAGTTAGTTAGATTCCTTCTTATTTCTGGGGACTCAATAGGTGTTGCCTTTTAAGGGTGATAACTGAGCGTTATAAAAGAGAGTTAAGCCACTTGTGTACTCCTTAACTCTTTTCAGTCTGGGCGTCCTTTGGTCTGTGAATCCTGAAATCGATACACTGGGACGCACTGTAGCTCGAACCTTCACTTACCTCGCCGAAAATATGAAAAGCTATCCGGATCATCGGGGGCTCCCCAGTGGTCTTGGTAACCCCGGTGCCATGACTGCACTCAACTTCCTCACTGACCTCTACTCAACATACGATAAGAAAGATCTCACTGCAGAAATTGTCGAATTAGAATTCAAGAAGGCCTTTCCTGAGGCCTACTATGAGGATATCTTCGTGGAACCCGGTTTTGAATGCTCTTATGATAAGGATATTAAGGTTAGTACCTCCTTTTCTCACCTAACTATTTAGAAATGTAGCTTTATGCAAGTTTCAAATGCCTTTAAAGGATCGATGTTTTTGCGACCTGCTTAATCTTGTTAAGACATTAAAGTTATAGACAGGAGCATTTTCTATTATCCCTATCTAAATTGCGTTTATTATTCATGAGGTAAGGATACTTGAAGCCTCCGATCTTTGATAACGGAAGTAATCTCTCATTCATGACTTTTTTAATATCAATTGCAAAAGTGAGGATTTAGGACAAGTCCGAGACCATGAGTTCGATACCATTTGATGCATTTACCATTCTGAAAATGATCTGCCACACCGGTTAATACTGATCTAAGAAGAGGGGAGCTATAAAATGCGGATTTCCTGCTAGTGGTCTGAGATTCCGGTTATGACTCATTGAATAACTACAATCCATTTGATTGTCTTTCCCCCATTTTTTTGGCTGAAAAATTAAAACTATACAACTGTTGCGTGAGGTAAGGCATGATTGTTTTTTTGGGTTAGAACTGGTGAGGTGACCGCATTTTAATTCATAAAGCAATGGCATTTATGTGCGTATCAGGAATATAATTGAAACACTGGGAACACGCGTGTTAATACTCATTTTGATACCTCTAATCCCATTACTTAAATTAGACCGACAACGATAATGACTGCACTTACTGTACAATGATCTATGAGTCATCTACAAATTAGAGAAATTGTGTACTTTTAGGTTACTGTACCTATCAATGTGCGTTCATAATAATTCCTATGATACTGCCTTGTTTTTTCATGAATCAGCATATTTACTTGCATTTTTGGACCTCTATCATAGGTGTAACCTTTTGATAACTATGTACAAATGATTCAAAAGACTTTGGGAAGAACTTCCCTTTACTACGTCAATTACAAATATTTACGTTGGCAAACCAAATGCTCTTAATGACAAGGGAAGTCGATCATCCTTAAGCCACTATGTCATAAAGGGATTCACCTCGAGCCTGGATATCCAACTAACTATCTACGCTTTTATTCGTGCCCACGTTTCCGTTCGTTCACTTAACTGGTTTCATTCATTCTCATTAGCATCACTTTGATTTCCTGGAGAACAGTGGAATTCGTCAATCCGCAGGCAGTCCAAGTCTCATCTTTAATGGAATGATCTTCTCCCTTGATGGTATTAACAAGTTGGGAGGTTTACAAGAGGCTATAATGACCACAGCCTTAGAACAGACTGTGTACTTCCAACAGGCCGCTTTTGAGGGTCGTCTTTATGACGGTCTCTCAGCAGCCGAATTGTTTGCAGCCGACGGCCTCCTTCTTTCTCGTATTAATCATCGTCTCCTCTCCGTCCTACCCCCTCTTGTCAACAAATTTGCCCTCGGAGATGGGTCCGACGGTAAATCGGTCACACCATTCCTTCAGTTCGGCATGTTGAAAGCTTCTATTGAAGGTAAGGCGTTATTCTGCTGTTCTTCCACCTAAACTACTCGTTCTGTCAACTCCTGATCTCTTTTTTCTGTAGGTTCGGCTGCTTCAGATTTATCCCCTGGAGAGATAACTAACTTCTTGGCTGATCAGATGCGTTACTTGCAAAAAGGGGGTGAGTATCGCGAATTTTGCTAAGTGGAGTCATTCAAAGATCCGTTTCACTCTCCCTTAAAATATCGGGAGGTCTATTTTAATTTACATGCTTGAATATGATTTTTTGTGTGGTTATCTTTGGTTCGAACGAAGAGAGTAAGTTTGTTCGTCTCTACGATCGCAGATTTTAGAATGACCACATCGTATCATGGACACGAGTTGAACAGGACGTTGTAAATCCGTTATTTTGCATTGAGTGGGGTGAGGGAGAGTGATATTAAAGGACTTGCTTTGAATTTGGTCCTGAAATTTTCGCCTGTGTTGTACACGATTGGAGCCTATATCTGCTGTATTTTTACCAGATCTTCACGAGCAAGTCAATTGTTTGCGTGTAAAATAAAGCCCATCTTAACATTTTGATTGTTCACTGAATATGTCGCAGTATATTTATATCAATAGGCAGGCTTTATGATAGTTACCATTAGCCCTTTAGTTAACTTCGGGCTTCACAAAGGAAGGGGTGGAGGAACGTCAAAATCGCAAAATGTCGAGAGGGGGAACAGAAGCTTGTTTCGCAGATGTAAGAGACAAACCCAAAGGTAGAGAAAAGGTAAGGTGAGTACTGTGAAAGAGGTGGAATATGACATACGGTCGAGTCATGGTAGTTTGAAATGAGAAATCAACTGCCGGTTGATAGACTTTTTTTGCCCTATTAGCATACGTTGCCCAGTGTGCACCCCGTGGAAATAATTCTATCGCACACCTCATACGATGCAGTATAGGAATGGGTATATTCTCAGTATCTCCTCGCATTCGGAAAGCACCTCACATTTAATGCTCTAAAAATTAACCAAGGGTCAGTTGCGGACTTTTGAATTAATAGCATCCGTGCTCATGTTTGGGATGCAACATAACATATTCATCATTTGCGCCTTCACGCAGACCATATCAGGGGCACAAATTTAATTTAAAATTTGCATATTTGGGAATGAGCTGGTAATACGATTAAGCGGCCCCATCGTAATCTGTTTCACTTATTCCTTGACGTCACTACAGAAGTGACTGTTTCTAGATCATCAGAAATGGCTAGGTTCAGTTGGAACTTAGCTTAAGGCGGCTTCTCCCTTTTTTTTAACTTACTCGAGATGGTGAATATGCCAGGTTGTGGTGTCTTGTTTACTAACTTCCAAGCCCAATTAGGAAGGCACACTTTCTAATGTGTTCGTCTTTGGTAGATATTATAGCATCATGGAGCGCACCTCTCTTGGGGGTAACTCGAATGATTTTGAGAGTGTGTGATTTGCCATTCGCCTCACTTCTTACCGAGGACCGTGTTAACTGCTGCGCGCTACCGCACCACACTTTCCTAGCCAATTAAAGCCCTCCAATTCCAACTTTCAGCAATTATTTTTGACAGCGTTAGAGATGGGCAAAAAGGTATACAACTGCAAACTCCCCGGATATAGGTTGTGCCCATCTCTTTGTCAACGTTTAAAGCGGATTTATTCCCTTTTACTTTTCATTTGACTAAATAATACTGTCTTCCCCAGGAACCATGATGAGAGGAAAGGTATCCTAAGACCTCTACGCAAGGAGCTATTCACCCGACGGCATAAATCTTGGTGTTCGCTAATTTTGGTTGACATGGATATAATTTAGTTGAACAAATTCCATTTACATTAAAGCACTACTTAAAACCAATAGGCAGGCTGCAATTTTGCTTATTCAGAAGTTTTCATCTCACTGTGACTTCATTCTGCTAAATCCCTTTTTTGTACTTTCTTCCAGATTTGGAAAGTGAAACGCGTGCAAATACAGTTTGGGTCGTTCTTGGCGATATTGAACCCTCCTCCACCTCCTCAAACCACAGTCTCAAATTGCTCGCCCAAGCTGCCAAATTCATGCGTCGCCATGCAACAATGGACACGCGTCTTGGCTTCGTATTCAATCCCTCCAGCACCGTCTCCTTCTCCGAAAAGGGTGTTTGGGGTGCTGGTGGATGGCTCACTCGGGCCCTTTTGCTCATTGGTCATCCTGCTGAGAAAATGTTTCCAATGCCGTCTTCCAGTGACAAGACCGCAGTGAAGTGTATGAATATCATGGCTGCGAAGAACTTCTTACTTAAAATCACAGAAGAGGCACTCAAAATGGTTCGAGGTGAAATCAAAGATGCTAGTCCACTGTCGGAGTTGACTGTTTCTGTAAGTTTTGTTGATAGAATATAACTTATTCACTATTTTAATACTAAAAAAGAATGCAAGAAATGGACCTAGCCATGTGCTGTCATTAACAAACACAGGTTTAGACCCCATTACTCAACCATCGAAATAGTTATCTGCAAATAACTATCTCCCGCCTTATTTGCAGAAACTAGGGCTCGTATACTGAATGTTACAAATAATTCTTTAATTGGTCAAATTGAAATCGATTCGACCGGCTGATTTTTCAGCAATGGAACGGTAGATGCGCATGTACCTGATTCATTTCCCTCTTAACTCGCCTATGCTTGGAGTTAGAAGGCAGTCCATTTCAACTGTGTCTATCTGTTATCCCCAACTAAACGATATCTAGTGCTTATTGGAAGTTTTTGTTGGTAAATTATGACTTAGAAACCCCCCCCCCCTCTTATCCTATCTGATATTAAGCACTTTACTTGAGCTTACTTAATAGAGCTGAGGTAGTATTTTTCGATTGATTACTCTGACCTTGTGGTGTGGTGATTCATATGCTTGTCAGCAGTGAGAGGTCATTGATTCGATATCCAATACACTGGTCAAGTCTAGCTTATAAAAGGAATAACACAGATGAACTCTCTTACCAGAGGGGGCTCCATGTTGCTATTTATCCCCCTAAGATGTACGCTAGAGAGCACTTCAGTAAAAGTGCTTGGAAGTTATTAGTATTAACGACTTCCTTTTAATTTTGATAGGGTATGGAAGTTGACAAATTCGAGAAGGCCTTTGCCGAACTTAATCTGAAAGACAGGCTCTCCCTCCACACCTCATTCTGTCAGAAGGCTCTTCGCATGCAACCGGGCGATTCAGCAGTCATAATCAATGGTCGTGTTTACGGTCCCCTCTTGGATAATGAGACTTTTGCTTCAGAGGACTTCCGTTTGGCCGAGCAATTGTCCATCAAGAGTGCTGGCATGGAGGCAATGGCCAAACAACTGGCTAAAATGCTCCCCAATCGAAATCCCAATTACATATCTGAACTTGTCTGGCGAGGGGCTTCGGTCATGGAATCTGCGAAATGGCGACTCACTTCATTCGCGAAGAGTGTAAGCCATCGTTCTTAAAATTTGTGCTAAAAGATTTGATTTTTAAATGAAAATGTTAATCCGGTGATTCAATGTTTATGTAGCATACGTCCTGCACCCTTTGCCTTTCAATTTCCAAATAAAGGCGGTTTATTATTTCGCTATTTCAAACAATCAACCCTTATAAGAGTATTGAATGTGAATGTACGTTTGTGTGGCTGTGGTTCATTCATGGCCCCCTAGTAAAAAGTTCACAATTTTACCAATGCGACCTTTTTTGTCCACCTTGGCTCTATTGAAGGTGAGGGGGATCTTTTATAACTTCTCACTTGTCCTTACTCTGAGAAAGACCATGCTCAAATATCTGATTCTTTTTTGCTCATTTTAATTTACCTGTATTGTCTTGAATATCATTTGATGAATGATTGGCTACCTGGTTTGCCACTAACTCCAGCGGCCACTTCTCTCGATAGTCTATCTGACATGTCTAGGCGTGATTGTGTCACGCCACCCGATTAAATCGATAAACCAGTTCATGAGAAATGATGAATGTGAGCTTCCCTAGAGTGCATCCCATCAGGATCGAAAGGCAGACTATGCTAAGATCGATTATGCTTCCAAGCCTGATTCTGAGACATACTTCCAGCCACCTCATCCATAAACTTTACCTATCGGCATATATCACACATTCCATGGCATAATAGGTTAGGATTCGTTCAAATCATTTGCTGTGTGCGATTGATGTTGAACAACCAAGCCAGTAACGTAGTGGAGCATAAAGTGCCAAACAGAAATGCCAATATTGACAAGGTATCGTATTGTCGCAAATGCCTATTCCAAACCTCTTTCCAAGCAGATTTTGTTTATCTCTTCAGCAGCACTTTCCTAAGATTCATTCCGCATTATTTTTTTGTAATGAGTTCATGAATTTAAATTACCACGGAAATGAATATGTATTACTCTTCCGTAGTGTCTAACTTTTAGTAATGGAGATTGTTTTTCATTTTTCTTTATATTTCTTTTCCTGTTGGTTTTTATGTCCAGTTGTCATCTGAGGGAATATTCGCGAGTGGAGGAAGCAATCGCATATCTCTCAAGGGTCTCCGGTCTCGTCATTCTGCATTCACACTTCCTGCAAAGACCGAGGGTTTGACCTATGACCTAGTTGCCGTTATCGATCCAGCCTCAAAAGAAGCCCAACGATTATCGGAGATTCTACTCGTTCTTCGTAGATCCCTACCCTGCTCCATCACTGTCATTCTCAATCCTGTCGCCGGATTGAGTGATCTTCCATTAAAGAAGTTAGTCTTCTCTCCCAAGTATATTCTTCTATTATCGTCCACAGGACGCCACTCAAGCAATTGAAGTAGTTTCAGTTGCATTAAATTAAATTAACAAATCGACAACCAATTACACTTCATAAATGTACTCTAGCTAATGTTGATATACTAATGTACAATTAGCTAGGGGAATCAATATGCTCAATGATTAGCTAGTACTTCTAGACTTTGAGTAATCGGAATTATCGCTACTTATTCTCCAACACCGGAAGAAAGAAATAAAATACTTAAGAATCCATCCGGTGTTAATATAATTTCGATATTGGAGATGGGGGTAGGTCGATCTGAAGGTGGTACCTGAATAATTGCAATTGATTTCACTTGTCTGGTGTTATAGAAAGTCCCGACGAAACTTTTAATCTCCGCTATCTACCTGTTTTGGAGATCTTGAAGCGTCTAATAATTGAACGCATACATCTCTTAGAGTATACTAACAGTTTATCTTTCGTGTTGATCATTCCCGTGTCTAGGGCTTGATGTCGGTTTTTATAATTACTTTTGTTTAGAATACAACCTTCTAACGCTTTCATTGTTTTTTTTAATGTTTCATCTTTTTCCCTTTTCGTCTGTTAACAGAGACACGGAATGTACTTTGAATGCAATACATAATTGGATAAAACAAGTGATTGCGTTATACTAGACGCGAATGAAAGCGCACGAATGCGTCCTAATACGCGACCATAGTTCGGTTTTATGTTACTATATAACCCAGCTGACAAAAGCACTAATTAATACAAACATCGTTGTAAAATATTCACTCAACGCAAGCAGGCGCGTGAGGGTTGATGAAAAATCGATTGTGAATAATCGCAGCGTCATTTAGCCTTCACAACGTTGTTATAGCTACTAAGTTGGTCTAAAAGGGGATTTCGTTGTATATGATGAGGGCTTTGTAGATGCATCTTTACCCTTTGTAGATCACGGCTCTGGTAGAGCATAAAACATGATTTTTGGCTTAACATCTATAATTCATCATGAGCGATTATTGGCTCCATGACAAAGTTCACGCAGTCTCAATTGTTTCTGGGCGCGTAAAGCCTTATCAACCTGCATGTAACCGTCTTATTTCCGGCTTTAGTTACTACCGCTTCGTATGGCAACCTAGTCTCTATACTGCAGAAGGTGAATCTCTTGCCGAAGCCCCATCAGCTTACTTCGACCATCTTCCAGGCAACTCCCTTCTCACTTTGGGAGTTGATGCTCCACACAACTGGATGGTCGCTCCAATTCGAGCCGAGGAGGATTTGGACAATTTGCGGCTTGGAGAAATCGCCTCACAGACCGGTAATCAACGCGTGGATGCTGAATTTGAATTGGAATACCTTCTTCTGGAGGGACATTGTCTGGATAACTCGACTAGGCAACCTCCCAGAGGTCTACAATTCACTCTAGGCACCGCGGAGATGCTCGATAGATATGATACGATTGTCATGGCTAATTTGGTGCGTAATCTTTGTCATATGAGTGTACACGCTCTTTGTCAATTAATGGGGGGTTTTGACTTTGTTGGAAACTTTAGGGATACTTTCAACTGAAGGCGAATCCCGGTGCGTGGCATCTGAATTTGCGCGAAGGACCCTCACGAGAAATTTACAACATTATTGGGTGAGTTGCTATAATTTTTTTGGCCTCTCTTACAAGTTAAATCGATTGTTTTTTTTTCAAATTGAGGTTGTGAATTTGTACTCTGCCTACTTAGATTTAACTTTCAGACTGTTTAACTTGCACTATTGCAAGTAAATGGTGGTAATTAAAATCCACAATAAGAAAATAATTCTTGTGATCATGAATTTGTAGCCATTTAGCAGGGTTCCAACTCTCATAAACAAAGATAAGGCGAAGGAAGGGGTTTGGAAGGATATCTATCACATTGGATAGCATGTTGGAAAGCGTGGGCAGATGCGTTGGTTGTAAGCAATAGAGGTTGTGCAGTTTCCTGGCAAAATGAAGGAAGTTGAAAGAAGAAGCAGCGATTGCTACCCTGCAATCCCATTTCAATCTCTACCCGACATGTTACTTGAATAGTACTCATGCAGGCTTACTTGCATTTCAACTGACATTTAGTCAAGGAGTTAAGGTCTTTAGCCCTATTGCCTGTTATATTTACATAAATTGATTTTATAATCTAATTTCCTAGTCACGAATACGCCGACAGTCCTTCGGGTGCACCATCTCTGATAGCTGTAATCGACAGTTTCCGTCCAAAGATTATCCGCGTGGACGTCCAAAAGAAGCCCGACCACCTCAATGACAATGTTTTGGAAGAGAAGGAAGGAAAAACTGAAATGAATGCTGATGGTAATGTAGGCGGCGACGGCGGCGGAAGTAGTAAACCCCTTGACAAACTTTGGTCAGTTGTTGACAGGTAAATTTTTTTCAGCTCAACGATAGGATGTACTCTTGAAAGGTTGTATGCTAGTGAATATCTATCTTATTCTCTTTTGTAGTACAATAAACTTCATCAGGAAGTCCTCTACTACTGTGGATCCTCTCCAAAATCCTAACAACGAGACCATTAATATATTCTCACTAGCTTCAGGTCATCTCTACGAGCGATTCTTGCGGTTAGTTCATTCGATTTTAGCATGAAAAATCACCCTTGTTGCTAGCGTCTCCCTCTCCCCTCCCCCCTAATTTTTTTGATCAAGATGGGATGATGCGTACAAAAGTAGCTTATTTGCTTTCTAGCCTCAGTGTGTACGTTCGGCCCAAAAGTACGTGTCGATATTTACCCCCATCGGAGCCACATCAGGTGATGATGTGGGTGGCAAGCGGAGCTGACAAATGAATGTGGGATGTTAGAATGTGAGCAACGTGTAGGTACCTACCTCTACCTAAAATAAGTGCTCTATGACTGCTCTTCATAATGGACTTAGGAGGCTATTTTTCTTTTGAGCTTGGTTGGTTCTGCTATTATTACACAATCTGAATGAAGTGGTACTTGCCTAACTTGAAAATACCAATATTAAGTAGACATGGATGATGATTCGAAATTCAATCTTCAATGCCATTCGAAAAGTGTCATTTATGCAGTCAAGTCGGAGATTCTCCTCTGAATAGTTGGATTTTGAAGTCAGATAGCTTCTATTCAACCCAAACACCTCTCTCCTTTTCTCATTGTAGAATTATGATGCTGACGGTGATCCGTAATACCAAATCCCCCGTGAAGTTCTGGTTCCTCAAGAACTACCTCTCGCCGTCATTCAAGGAATTCATCCCCTACATGGCAGAGAAGTATGGATTCGAGTACGAGTTGGTGCAGTACCAATGGCCACGATGGCTGAATGCTCAAACTGAGAAGCAGCGCATCATTTGGGGCTACAAAATCCTCTTTCTTGATGTCCTTTTCCCACTCAATGTCAAGAAAATTATCTTTGTCGACGCTGATCAGGTAAGAACGCTTTTCATGTTTCGATAATTTTTAGACAGTCTACAACTTTTCATACTTGCCTTTTTCATTAGTTTTATATTGTTTTAGAGCCTATTCCCATAGCAATCCAGAACATTTATTTATTTCAAATGGCAGGCGTTTTGATAGTT